CTAAAAAAAAAAAAAATTGCTTTACTATTATAAAACATCAAAATGGTTAGTCACAGTATATCATATAGAATAACATCTTTCAGATATCCTAGAATTTTACAAATCTCAACCGTTTCAAAACTGTGATAAAAAAATGTGTAACGGTGAATGGCTCATCACATCCTATGCACGGAGGATTATCTTCGCCATTCAACATAAATGAATGGGTAAGGAATGTATAGCCCATCCGAACATTTATTAAAACAGACGTCGTACAAAATGAACAAAATTGGGAAATATTTATACAAAAAAATTTTAAATGCGAAATTTACATAGTATCGATACTCTTGGTATACATAGAAAATTGCTAGAAATCACACAAACAATTGACCGATGATGTCACTTGAATTACTTGCACGTGATTTCATTCGTTCGAGAAATCATCATTATGAATTTTGAAAAGCGCATTCTGTAATATTCAATATTCATTAAACTAAATTTCATCCCGTAATGATCAAAATTTTAGATGGAACTCCTGGAAAAGTACAAGGGGAATAACAGATGTTCCAGAGGAGTAAGCGTCTTCCGATTCATCGACGACACCCGCCATATACAACATACATCCTGATTCGTATTACTTTACTTTTGTAAAAAAAAAATCAAATAGAAACAAATGGAAATAAATTTTAATTGTCTATTACTATTGTTGAAAATGTTTTGAAGTATTTTTTTACTTGATCTTCGAGATTACATGCCACGTTGTCATTCATTTGAATAGTGCAACGGTTCAGAATACACGCACGTACATTATGCTGTTCTTCCTTTTATGGAAATTATGAATTTGTTGTATAATTAGGCTAGTGAACCTTTGCTTAAATATTTGCCTTTTATTATATCACTTTCATTTTTCTTATTTGTCTCTGTTGTTTGTCTCTATTGTATCGATCTTTAAAATTGTAGCAAACGGTGATATCACTTCAAATTGGTTTCCTAGGTTACCTACTAAGCTCAAATGTTTGGCCCATAAGATCAATGATGATACCTAAATGGAAGGTACACTTGTATGATGCAATTAAATTCAATTTCCTCTACTGTATTGCACTAAGTGTTGAAAGGTGTGTGATTGTACAATCATTCATGATGAGAAATTCTTGAAAGATGTTGCATCACGTCTCTTGTTTTTAGTGATGGGGTTGGATGCGGATTTATTGGACATGATATTGAAACAGAACACCTGAAACTAACCAGCATATTATCAAAACTGTACACATTACACACCTGTGAGCAGCATAATTTAATATAAATCAAGAATTAAAAACGTCGTATGTTTCATCGACGATACCAAGCATGTATTGATATTTTTCCAACAAACAGCTAAGAGTCAAAATTGTAATTTTAATATCATACATTTAAGACCCGTAACGCTAGTAGAAGCAATGAAAGTGATTTAATTTTCCCTTATATGACAGTAAATGTAAAAATAAATGCGACGATTAATCCTATCGGCGGGTATAAATACCAGCATGCGCAGTCAAATTGCGTTGTATACGAAAATAAAACGAATGGCTGACGGAGGTGACCGAGTCGGCTAATAAACAAAGAAAAAATATCAAGTTAGTAAGCGACAACCAGGTCAAATTACCATAAGTCGTTAAAATATAGAACACGGAGGCGGAACTGCCATATTTTCAGACGACGGATAAAATTTGCTCTGCTCCAGACAGAGAGCGGCTCCAGAAGTTAGACTTGCAGTTACAATCGCTATAATTCAAACATGTAGACATTAATTTACCCTTGTAACCACTTCATATATGGGTATTATTCACATATTTACCATTTAAATAGGATTTGCTTCAATTCCTGTTTACATGCCACGTGGTTGCTAGTTGGAGACGATGTTGTGCTGATGCATTTTGTGTCCTATGATATATAAATGAAGCGATGAAAGAGTAAGGAAATGTTCAACAGCCGACGAATGAAGACAGTGTTAAGACATAGCACGTGTATTTTCTGATCAATTTTATTTTATTTCATCACTGCATTATACAAAAAGCCTCTTGAAATGTGTTAAAAACAACGCAGCATTTTTTGACGTTTAAAGTAAACTCTGTATGCTTACGTAATAACGTTAAACTACTGCAATGCTATATCACACAGAGATATTTGTTTATTACGTTACGTCCTATCTACAGTTATTGACATGGAAATGACAGGTTTCGATGGTAAAGGCGACTACAGTTCCCGAACAAAAACAATGGTCTGTGGCCAATAATTGGCGACTGCCCTACGTTGGCCTCGAATGATCGACCCAAATGCAGAGGGCTAATGATAAAATATCAGGCAATTGTATGGATGATTAACTGAAATTCTAAAGTGAGATGTAGTTTCGAGCGCGACACAGAATGAACAAACTGCCCTTGTAATGTAAGGTACGAAAGTACCAAATGCGTTTTTCTTATTAGCTTTCACATTATTTGATATCACAAAACGTTGAATTGAGTTTTAGTTATTAATAAACGGGCATTTAAAATGCCTAGTATTAGGTGTTCCCTTTGCAACGTTTGATAACATGTCAGTAATACAATTGAAAATTGAAAAAACCTAAATCAGCATAGACATAAATAACCGCAGCTTTTGCGAGGACAGAAGTAACAAACGAATATCAAATTAATAAAAAAATATTTTTTTTTCATTTTGCAAGAAGGCAAAGAGTAAAGGATAGATAAAACTAAAGTAGAGTGATATGTATAAAACTTTTATATTCACTATAAATCCTATTGCAGCATGGCGTCATATATGAAATAGACATTGAAGCTTATTTCGTTCTATGAACGCTTATCGACAATGACTGTTGTCTGATTCATTTCTGTAAATCCCTTGATGTGCTGTCAATGGTATCGCAATTCTATATCATTCTAATAAATTCTGTCATTGTATTAAATGGGAGCAACAGACAAACACCTGCCACGAGCGTTAATTAACTGCGAAGGAAGGATATATTTTCATCAGCACATGAATAATTAAGTACATATTGCTCAATACAAGACGTCTTGTATGATGTTGTTATTTTTTTACCTTTTCCAGGAAGTCGGTTAGACATAAACAGAGAATTACAAACTATGGGTGTAATTTACTCGACTAGAGGCAAGGTTAAAACATAATCACAAAACAAATATTTACCAACGTCAATATGAGATCATGTTACAGAACTGTAGGTTGATGACGTATGTTTAGAATTGTCAGTTATACTTTGTCGAAAACAATACCAACATGTAGAAAAATCATAATTCAAATTCATGAAACAAGCATGATTATGATTAAATGAAAGATTTACACCGAGACACATGGACAAGTATAAAGAGTACAAATGTAAGATGTTCCAGAAGGGTATGTGACTTCTGCTTCCAAATTATATCACAGTACCACTTCCCAATAATCTGAATTTATTTTCATTCCAGACGTGGCAAAAAAAATTATGACGCAGGCAGCATACAAAAAACGATCAAGATTGTTTTAAATGACCTAGTTGACAATCCGCATCTTCATAAAACATCATAGAATGAGCTCCTGCTTACATGTCGGTATTTTCGTTGTTGTTATAACAACTGTACTTATATGGTTTGATATTAAATGTTACAAGTCTGCGACCTATTAACACATGTAGGTTATTTCAATAGATAGGCGCGGGGGGCAATTCCATTAAATGTGACCTTGAATTCAAGCTGGCATGAATGCCCTTCCGTCCCATCATAATGTCACAAGGATTGGCAATTTGTATTTGAGCATCACCAGATCTGAACCGATAGCAAAAACCACTTTATTTGACGTCGGTAAGTTACGGCCGATGAACGTGACCATGGCAATTGTCTCAAATGGAAAAACGTCAGGCAGTATCATGGGATACATAAAGAAGAAATTGATATTTAGGAAGATGAGGGAAATTACAGACCAAGTTTTGTCACTGAAAAGCATGCAATGATAACAGACAACAGATATTGTGTCCTTGTGCTGTGTCAATGTTGAGACCTTTAGCATGTAATATAATTGTAACACGCCGAATCGTCTTAGATCCTTCATCTATTATATTTTTTTTCATAAATGTATTTCTTATGACTGATGTCCTACGTGATGGAATTTTTTCAAACAACTGACAACACTTAGCATCCTTAGACTCCGTGTCAAACATTATTCATTTCAACTGCTGGATGCTATTCTGGATTGAATCAACAAAAATGGTCATTTAAGTTCTGCCTCCCGTTGCATACGTTCGATGTTTTCAAGGCTGGGGTATGTTCATGCATGCCTTCTTGTGATAGTGTGGAAATGAAACCGACTTTTTAATGCTTCCACACTGAAGTATACTGCCAAATGCCCCCGGCAGGACACCCTACCTGGTCTCATTAGAATAGAAGATGAGCATGTCTTTTGCAACCTTCCTGTATAATATACCTATCTTTTGGATGAAAATATCAGTATTTAAACACATCTGACACCAGAGACATTGATTAGTGGAACACGGTAATGTGTTCTCGGTTAGGTTGTAATGTTTCATCCGAGGAATTCTTCAGACTCATGTCAAATCTTGCAGTATATCAGAAGACGGACTAGATGAATTTTGAAAGTCCTCTGCCTTCGGTCGAAACATTTTTCGGCTTGTATGTAAGATTTAGGTTTTGCAAGAATATCGTTTTGTAGATTGCGTCCCGTTTTGTTTCCCATATAGAATTTCCCGTTACGAGGTGAGAAAAATCCAAAATGTAGGATGATTCAAATCAACAGTTTGTAAATGTAGATAAATGTTTATGAAAAATTAAATGTGTACGGGTAATGATATTAAAAAGAACAACATATCTTAAACCTTTAACAAGTGGTTGGTATAAATCATGGAATTTGGTCGCCGGCTCGCCTATTTCTATGTTAAGTATGTCACTTCTTATCATTGAAGTATACTGTTATTTGTGGGAAGTAAGATATGGGGATTACATATGGGCAGTAGATTTCAACTGTCGACAACAACAAACATGGCGTTTCCATTGCTAAATGTGGTGAGTCTTTTGACTTTTATAATGTCAGATTCATTTATTAATTGATAAATTGCCACAAAATGGTTAAATCAAAACACGTTCATCTATTGAAGCTTATTCTATTCAAATTATTATGTACGATATAATATTTTAAAACAATTCATCGAATGGAATACAGGTACATTCCGATGTCAATTTCGTTGAAAATATTATTAAAACTAATAATTAAATAATGTCACATCTAAATAGTGTTGCTTTTATGGAGAAATTTTACATCGTACGTGCACTTAAGGAAATAAAGAAACTACCTGCGATTAAAGAGCTGTTATATCACTCTTCGCCTACCTAAGATTGGTGCTGCGTTATCGCTGTTTATATGACAAACTCGGAGTCGTGGTGGATAGTTCCATGTTTTCGTACGAATCTCATTATGTTTGACATTTACTTGAAAAAAATATCACACCTGCATTATCACGATACATCGCTGAATCATACCTGAAAGTGTTTTATTATCAAATGCTTAAGAGACATCTTTTCAAATGTTTTCCCCTAACTTGCAGATTGCTGAAAGACATTTTTGTATCATTTAACGAATGTGATTTTTGTTCAGCAAGTCTTATTTATAACATGAATATTCAGGGTCTTTCTATTTGCGGTATCAATGAACTGAAATAGAGGCACATACAGGTCATTCAGTGCTTTGACCGCAGGGTCATCTAAATTTGTTTACTGGAGTCCGATTGTACGAAAGACACTCCTGTAAATACTCCTTGTTAATACAGGTATCTTCATGTACATGTGTAAAATCGGCACCGTTAATAATATCAAAATAAATCAAAACAATCCATGCATTTTTACGGCTAACCTAGGAGACACAAACATATTAGCTTCTTGTATATTGGGGAATGGTTACGTTTACTTGATCTCCTTGAGAAATAATCTGTTTCTTGAACATGAATGCTCGTTACTTTGTCTACTGGTTCCGTTGTTGTATAACCTACTTTTATTTGAAAACGTGGCATTACTCACTCATATTGACCAGGATTTACATGCCGGGTTTCCACGATGAAGCAGAAGATGCTTACTCTTCTCTGGACTTCAGGAGTATATATGTGGATATTTCGCTTGTTAATATTTTGCCCTGTGTTTGGTGAAAATGAGTTTGGATCATGATTTTGATCACATGATCAAATACGAAAGCACAGAGAATGGCATTGATAAGTGTTCTTATGCAAAATATTTTTTTACTGAATAAGACGATAATCAAGTGTTCAAATGATTTGCTTTCAATTAAGGCAACATCTGAATAAGTGTGCAAACCTTTCTTTTCAGCCCCTGATATCAACAATTTGGTTATTTATCTATCAGATCGGAGTAGGTGAGTATGATTCAAGTTAATCCTCTCTCCACTGTAGATTGATTTAAACAAATGTGAAATGTGTAAAGCTTTATTCGGAAGCCCAATCGTCAGTTGACACCGTCTCTATATGACACTTGTTGCTATGAGTGACTTGATAAACCTGTTGACCTGCATAAATGAACCATGTCATATTACTGACTAGATACGAACTGCTGTTATAAGCGAACTCTAATGCATCTACCTTCAACACACACACTCACCGCGCATTCATCTAGTCGCTGAAAGGACGTTATTACAGTATAAACTGTTCTATTATGTATTTTAACACAAATAAGCGTGGAGTAGATGCAAGTTCATACTGGGATGGAAACAGCATCGTGGATAATTATAGATACTTATTTAAATTTTGCCGAACTCATGTTCAGTATGATTATGATATAACATTTGCCATTTTCGAGGATTTTTCTATTTTCATCATTGTCTAACATAGAATAAAAAAAACTACGGAAAAGATCTTTAAAATAGCTTCAATAACGAAAACGAAACTTATCTATTTTTATTCTATTTTTTTCGGTAAAGCCAGGAAAAACTTGATCCATCGAAAATGGGACATTACTGTCTACGGATAATGTTTATATACCAATACAATATATCATTTAATAATGTTATAAGAGTCCATTAAATAAGCCATTACAGAACACTACAATAAAAGAAAATATATTTCTCCATATATATACAGACATTTTCGTTTGCTGTCTCCATGAATTGACATATCCATTCTTATTATGTACATAGCTCACGTCATATTTTTTCTGGTGAAATCTCTCAAAGCTGGGAACGACAACAGTTATTTGGTTACACATTTTGTATTCTTTGTTAGAGTGGGAAGCTGCCCAGCAATGTATGGGTCTTGTCACATTTGACGACATTCGATCCATCATTTATTCTCTTGGGATTCTTGTATCATGATTTGATTTTATAGATAAAAAACGGTTGTAGAAAGGTCATCAACACTGCATATGCCAACTGTCAGGTAGAGCATAATGAAGATAGATATACAAACATAGTTTTTAAGAAGTACAGGTTTATAAAGATTATGGTGAAATTTTGAGCTCGTTGTTATGACCTGATAGGAAAATAGTATACTTCCTTTAGCGGTTGGATATGTTGTATCTTCGTTAATATGTCTGGTTGTTTTGTTATAACGTTCCATACACGAAGGGATCTAATGATTTTACGGTAATTGTAATAATTATTCTTTGTTCTCTCGTACAAAAATTATCAAAACAATAAGTAAGATAATCACCAAACTTTCATGGATCAATACTTCTAAATATGCAGACATCATTCGTTTTCTGATTTTACAAGGTAGCCATATTTTTTGGCTTTGGCTGATACCTTTTCACTGATGATCTTTGTGTGATTTCAGTGCATCAAGATGAGAAATGATGGCGGGAAAATGCATAGGTGATTCATAGCTTTCGATAGGTTGTGTAGTAGAAATGATTTCTTTATCAAAATTGATGCGAAATAGTGGTTTCTGATTGATACAAATTTGGATATTGGTGTTTTACTTTTAAAACTGGTCTGTAATATGACATCTGAAACACATTGTGACGCCCGGTTTTTTTATTTGACGAAATGCCGAACAAGGTACAAGTTAAAATTTTCATTGGTGAAGGTGTACATCAGGGATCCCGACCAGTGTCAGATTTAAAACTAAACTTGTTTTCTTCCTTGTTTATTGAAGAAGTACTTTCATAATATTTTTTCTCACCTGACCCCACTTGTATAAAACATCTCAACTTGAGATTTCCTCAAGTCGAGATTTTCCTCAGCTAATATCTCCTTGAAAATATCTTGTATGAAAAATTCCTCAAGGAATTTCAGGACATCCTAGCCGATGCCTTCCTCCTGTTCCTTGAGAAAATTTTATACAAGCCGTGAAGGGGTAGTTTGTAAAACTTATTTAACAGAACCCGTTGCAGTTGCCATTTGCTTGAAACTGTATTCTTATATAGCACCATAATACGGTATATTGTGATTGACCGATGACGTGAACCTAGATCTATATATTATTTGTGAGGTTAACAGGATTTTGTTACCAGAATATTCCTATGGATACGATTAGAAATACAACGTAAGTGTTTTATACCGAGAACGTGGTTTTGCATTGACTGAAAAAGAGCAACTATTTCGCATTTCTATTTTTACCAGTGTACGGATCTGGGCCTTTATGTCTAGAGTGTCAGAGAGAGGCTGTCCCGTCATCATGTAACCGAGTGGTACAGTGTGGTCCACACGAGGTAAATAATCAACAAGACACATCCTTGATCTCCGTAAATCATACAGAATGTGGGATAATTATAATTATCCCTATTTAAACAAAGCCATCTGTATCAATTTAGTGGTGACAAAAACCAGTAGACAGTGCAAAATGTCATTGCATCTTTCCGAATTATTATTATTACAACAAATGCTTCCTCTCATATGGTACTTGAAAATGATACCTTACTTGAAAACTTCTTTATATATATATATATATATTTTAATTTCTTGTTTATATTTGAAAAACCGAAATGATCTTTTCTCATATTATTGACAGTGCAGTGATTTCTGCCAAATAAATATACAGTACTTTCGCTTACTTTAAACGGATGCGTACATTACCTTGATTTACATCTTATGGAAAATTGCCATTTTTATTTAAGTGCGATAGGAACAATTTTAGTTGATGCTTTCAAACCTGCATGGAACTAAACTTTTCTATCGAATATTTTATTGAATAATATAACCAAGAATTATTTTTACTAATCACTTCACAAAAACTTCGTGACGTCACTCGCAGTTAGTTTGCAACACTTTCAGTGTTTGGGGAAATTTCAGTGATGAGTGAACCTGTCAAATTCCAAACGAAAATGTACAGTTATGGAATGAAGATATTTCAATATTTTTGTTGTACGATTTTTGTTTACTTTATCGAATGAAAGCAAGCAGCACACGCAAGATGTGTGTAATTAGTCGTAGTTGTGTGTGTACACAGCAGAGCTAGATAGTAAATGGGGATTCCATTCGTGGTGAAGAAATCCCAATACATCCTCTCTATGGTGGCTTGTGACTTCTCTCAGCATTATCAAGTTTGAACATTTTTGTCATTTAGGAATGAAAAGAGAATGGACAAATCAGATAAAATCAGCATTTGCATAAATCGAACAAAATTATCGATAAAAGTCAAAATTACTTTCTTATGAATTTTACCTCTTTTCAGAAATGCTTGCTGCGACAATTTGAAAATGAGCGTGGCATGATATTATACCAGAGTGGTTGTGTCGATTCGATGGTAAGTACATGTAATGTAAAATTCATACATGTATCTGTGTGTGTGCGTGCGTGTGTGTGTTTGTTTGTGATAGAAGCTCGTGTGAAGCCATATGATTTTGAAAAACATTATATCCAAAAATAGGAATATTTTTATATCTGACTGTAAAGTTACCATTTTTGATTCATGTAACCTACCAGACGAACTTAAGAAATCCATTCAAACACATACTATATATTTTTTATCTTTTTTCAGATACCGTTTTTTGAATATATTTGTTTGTTTTGTCTCTTACAATATGTGTTCCCACTATATAAATTAGAGCATTCATAAACATTATACTTTAAATATTATATGATCATATTAGAAAGCAGACATTTTGTATTATTTGTTGAATAAAAAATATAATCAACCATTTTCTATGGTAAAAGCTCTTCATAGTTGTCCGATCTCGAACAACATTTATTATGACATAAACTGTTACGAAGGAGTTATTACCACCCAAGGGCTGAAATCAGTACACTCAATACAAATTTCCAGCAAGAAAATATCAACTTTAAAACTAATTTTTACCACCATTCATTTTCTATTTTTCATGCAATATTGCATTGCAGCTGTGCGCCAATTTTGCAGCCAATAGTACAGTTTTACGTCGGACGACTAAACGAGAACTAACCCTGTGTTATGAATGCTGTGGTGATGATTACTGTAACTCAGGTGGATGCAATGCACCAGGTAAGCTGTCGATTTTTGCAGAAGTGCGGTGTATTAATTTTTGTTATATTTATAAAATTATTCTTTTTCTTGGCCTTATTTTGTTATCTTTGTCTTTTTATGCATTTTTAGTTTTATTTTTCAGTTTATGATTTTTTTGTAATGGTTTGTTTTTATTCATAAACAGCTAAAGTCTAATATCAGATAAGTGATATTTGCATTCAAATGAAAATAATTATGACGCCCCAGTTTGCGACCTCGTTATAAATAATCTGCTTTGATATGTCGTCAATAATTGTACCTCATAAACCCTGTTTTGTGATATCGATTTCAGTTTATTTTGCAATGATGAAAGTTTGCAAAACAGCAACATTGTATTATTGGAGATGTATACCGTATATGTTTACGGATATTGGAAATAAGCATTTTAATCCTAAGAGCTACAAAACAAAACTGAAATTATTCCTCCTTTTGTGATGATTTCTCTTTTAAGGTTGTTAATATACTATTGCAAAATATTTGATTTAAAAAAAAAATAGAAAAAATAAGAAAAAAAAGTGTCTCGTATGTTTGCCACTTAACGAATTGATAATGAAACAAACGCCAATCTAAGGGATGTCACAGGTAAACGTAAAACATCGCTAGTTCGTAGTAACATCGATTATGTCTGTCTATGTATATAACATATATTCTTGTCAATATTAAAATTCAGACTTGCTCCAATGTACTCTTGTATAAGTCCAAACATTGTGTAAGAATTGAAATTAATTGATTGGTAACACCACAGCTTATATAAAAAAATGTTATTTCCTAGGATTCTCCGCAATGAAGGGATATCCGCCAGTGTGCTTCATTTGTCAGGACGTGAACAGTCCACAGACATGTGGACACATAGAACGCTGTGGGGATGGAGAGGTACGGGCTCGTTATTCTTTTGTTTACTTTATCGTTGTTGTGATTATCTATGTGAGCTGGTTAAACATCCACTTTCACTTCACTGATAATATCAGGGCTCAGTAGATGAAAAGAAGGTAGGAATGGTGACCTGTATCATCACCTCGATAAGTTCTTATGAATTAGTTTACAGCCGACTGTAAACTCCCCAAATAACAAAAGCTGATGCAATATCATGCTTTTAGTTTTTGTTCCGTTAGATATATCGTCGCATCATGGAAATACTGCTTTTTTGATGAAGATTCATCGAATGTACTTCGTTTAACCATTTTTCATTCTTTGTGAAAGCATAATTTTCTTTTGTTTGATATGGTTGATTTTTGTTTTGGCACGTACGTACTATCTACATAAAATGTCACGTATAATACGATGATAATTTTGCATTTCTTTCATTGTAGATGTGCTATATAAATAAAATTTCATTAGGACATTTCCAGATGGGCTGTAAGACATCGAAGGTAATAAATATGTCAAATACGATCACTGCATATCCATCAACCCGATTTGTACCAGTGCCAGTAGGAAATAACAAAACTTTTTTTTCAAATCTGAACAAGTCAGCAAGTGGGAAAAGATCGCTCAGGTTGTCTCCCTTTACACCACTCAAACCGAGATTATTCGGCGGAGTAAATGATAATTTTATTACTGGATTTGTGGTCACAGTAAAGCTCATCATTATGACAATTATGACATAATTAACGTCGTTTAATTATATGTTAATAGGTTAAAAGTGATTCGATAATTATAATACATTTTGATGTAGTATTTTAGTGAAATATAACATAGTTCTATAAATGTGAATAAGTTACACTGTGCTTAGTAACTCAGGGATCAGTATTGACTACGATAAACGTAATGTGCAAAGCAATGTGCTTTTCAAAATTAAGGATATAACTCAATATCAAAGTAAATCAATCATTGTCCAACAGAACTGCCAAAGTATGAATTCTCACAATGATTGTTCTGCGTGCTGTTCGGATGACTTCTGCAATAAACATTGTAACACTACGTCATCAGGTCAACAACAAAGTCATACTGAAAAACCTCCACCTTCACGTAAGTATGAGAAATGAGTTTGGTTGTATAACACATGTTTAACGCAAGTTTTTTTACGGTTTTGTTTGTGCCTCCTGCATTATTCTAATATTCATTTAAAAGTTATTTATAAAACCTGATCGAAAATTTATAGAATCATGGGATGAATGTACTTCTGCATCGAAATGCCTCACGTTTACTTTAATTTCGATTCCCTGTAGTTTCTATACAGAACTTTAACTCCTTGAGCCCCAAAGCAACACTGATAAGTTCACGAAGGACGGAAGTCCTATATTTTATAGTTTTCGATTTATCACTTCTTTTAGGTTATACTTTTATTGTAGTTCTTGTATAGAATTTGGTTTGGCGTAACAACAGTGGCACTTCACGGTCTCACGGGGTATGAGACGTGAGAACGTGTTTTGCGTCCGTTTTTGGGAAGCTGCAATATGTTCGTGCAAGTCTTCTTGTGATAGTGTGGAACTGAATTCGACTTTGTATTAATACATCTGTGAAGCATACTGCAGATAGTACCCACAACCCGCCTTGCAGGAACGACCGCCCAATTGTGAACAAGAACCTATTTTGCAAAGTACTAGTCACTCCTGGGAAGTGGCTTCTTAAATGGGTTTAAATTATTGGTCATTGTATAGTGTAATTTCATTGAAATATCATGTCGCTCAAATACGAATCTAGTTGCATCTGTAAGCCTAAAGTAACGACACCAGAAGGGTCCAGTTATGTTTGATTTCTGTTCACAACTCTGTACAATATACAATTCATATCATCAGTTGTTGGTATTTACCATGTGCGTTATGATAGTAGATACATTGAGTGAGAATATCGTCAATTCATATTATATATTAGTGTTATGAAATACTTTATGAGTTCTTACAACAGTATATAATGAACGTGATAAACAGAATCTTATGCTCGTAATTTGGGGGAAATTCAAAACCATATCTCGTCACGAATTTCTCTTACTGGAAGGAAGATACGTCTACATAATATGCATAGATATATGGTTGAATTCCAGTTATATAGTTAAAACTAAAGGTATGTAACAATAATTCCAGGTACAACTATACAACCATTGCTACGATGTTTTCACTGTCCCGAGAGCACCGATCCACATTGTAATTTTCACCAGATATGTCCACAAGACAACGTAAGTCAACTCAATAGCCCCAGTCAATAAATCATGTCATTCAGCTTTCACCTAGATCAATTGATATTCATTGAAAGATGGGGCTAACAACCACTTTTGACTTTTCTATTGACATTTTTTAAGATTTTCCTCAGTCACTTTATTTGTTTCTCAATTTATGATTAACGACCCGCAGAATTACACAACAGCTGTATGACATACTTAATTCATTGTTTGGATCTACTGTATCTAATTCTAATGTATTCAAATGTGTTATCCACTTGTGGATTTTTATACAATCTTCTTTAAGTTATATTATATCGCAATTTCAAAAAATACCATCCACAGTGATTAGAACAAACTATACATTAACATGAGGTTTTGTTTTAGGTATGTTACAGTAGTATTCAACGACGGCAGAATAGCCATCCTACGTACACCTTCCAATGCAAGCACAGAACGGTAATTAGCACCATGCATCAAGATCTTTGCATGTTTTTGTTATCGTTTGATGCAATATTCTCTAACGGTCAGTATCGACTATTATGAAATTTAACATTATATTGAATTTAATTTTTATTACTCAGAACTGTCCGCATAACTCTACATATACCGACTGGGTTGTTTTGGGACGACGCAAGAGGTCAAGCAGTGATGGGTATTGTTGTTTCTCGGACGACTGTAACTTCTTACCACCGACCGTCACACAACTGCATACTACACCTTTAAGTATGTATCCTCTACTTTTGCACCTCATTGCCTTGGTACAGAGTAATGATTTTCTTCCGTGCCTTCAACTTGGGCAACATGAAAGAAACCAAAGCAAAATTACTGCTTCCATGACAACACGTTTGATCTTGGTCTGAGTACACATTCTTGTAGTGATATATTTTGCACTACTGACATCCGTCCTCGTATGATCCTGGCTGTTGCGAGGAGGTTAAAAGGGAAGGTTACCACTGACCTTTATACGCTTTATATTATATATTACCAGCGCACTACTTACTTTCTATTCGGGCAATTGAGTGTTGGCCATCATGCATCTAATGTATAATGTAATAGAGGAAGGTGTCATGCCTAGGTGAATATATTACTGTGCGATGACACTATAACAGTGCCCTTTGTGTGACAGCTGTCTGGATTTGACCTGTATCATTGCATGATTATGTTTTACATGTTAAAGAGTTAGAGTCTTCCGAACAGGCATCGTCATATAAGGACGACACCTACGGTGGAAACGAAACACGGCAACAAAAAATAAATAAACCAGAAAATAGAGGCAAACTAGATGCATAATGGAGAACAGATATTTGGTTTATTTCTATACTCCTGGAGAACAAGAAACGACAGAAAATTACTGATAGACAAAATCACTTGCTCACCTTTCGGAAAGTATCTTTCACGCAATTTTATGGAGACAACAACCAGGGTCTTAGATAGGCGTTATCAAACGTACAGAAAAAATGCTCCCATATTCGTATATTCGCAACTACATATGCTTCGATATTTTTTATTTATCAATACACATTCATTATAACGAGTTCTCCATAACTAAATTAACGTCATTCAGAAAATACTAATAAAAATTCCAGATATCAGAATCAGAATCTACATTCCACTTAACAATGTCATAATCGAAATTCAAGTTATCAAAATTGTAATCAACTTCAAGTTAACAAAATTGAAATTTCAATTCCAGTTGGCATAATTCCAATCCGGATTCCAGATTTGAAAATCGTAATCTAAATTCCACGTAACCATATCATTATCGAAATTCAAGTCAACATAATTGTAATCAACGCCATACATTCTGGTTAACGAAATCGTAATCTAAATCAAGTGAACTAAAATGCAATTACAATTCTAGTAAATGATAAACGAGATCAAAACAAAGTAACCAGAATCTTCTTGATTTTTTGTAGCAATTACTTCGCCAATAATTACAGATGTTGGGCCACTACTAAAGAACACCACACTTGGGGTGAACGTAGGATTTCATTGTTCTGCTACTGGGTTTCCCAAGCCAACATTACATTGGGATGTACCGGTAAATACCATTTTACTTATACAACAGACCCCACGATCATTTCTCTGATTGTTGCACTTTCATAAATGGAGACAATATTTTTTATATTTATAAAGTCATTGAATTATGGGACTTTTGCGACTCCCTATCTAACATTTGACATTTCTTTCCATCAAATCTTATATTAGCCTATCGTCTTCGAGGTTTCGCGATTTTGGATCTAGAATCCCTGACGAGTTCTAGAAGGACAAAAAATTATATATGATGCAGCTCATTAAATTTTGCATAATATTCTTGTATTGAACTGTGTCATTCTCATGTGTGTTTGTGGTAAAATCCAGTGGTGTTTATAGAATTGATCGTATATGAAGTTTTAAAACATTTTTCGCAGACAATTGATCTTTTTTATGTGTTTACAGCTGCCTCTTCCAGTACCTCCCAACTATGTGCAGCCTTCATCGGGAGACTTAATTATCTGGCGAGTAGCTAAAGAAAATGCTGGTTACTTCACTTGTGTCGCCTCAAATGAGTATGGAACTGACTCACAGACCATAACTTTAACTGTGTCATGAACGGTTAATCCTTATGATGATCAAAGATTGGTGTAAATTATCAATAAAACATCAATCGCTAATTATGTGTTGGTATTGTCAGAATTGAAACTGCGTGTACCTGTGTACATACAAAATGCATTTTCAATCAGAAATTACAAGTGTATCCACCTCAAATATTTTTTTTAGAATTGACGCGAATCATCTTTATAATGGTGCCTATTGTCATTAGCTGTTAGAAGATATTTCAACCGGAACAAATACTGAAGTACACATCTGTACAGAACAATTTATCTAGAGTTTACGTTCAAAACTGGATAGAATGTTTCTGCTAAAACACTTCATTAAATGCATTACCTTGACACAATCAAGAGGTATACACTGAAATAATTTCATACGGTAGAAAAAAACACATGCTTCTGTTCATTAGAAATTTCCGACAAATTGCTTTGTATAAATGTTAAACCGTCCTAAAATTATAATTCTGACGTGCGCAAGATTTAAACGTTTGCCAGTTGCCAACTAATATATCTATATATATTCTCCCCAACCACAGTTTAAAGGATATCTTTATACATGTCTCGCGTTTTGAACTATGTAACACTATTTCATAGAACTATAATGATAACTCTCGCGAGATCTTGTCTCATCATAATAACAATTTTTACAGTGTACATATCAATTTTATCTACGTTATAATAACTTTTAATACAATTAAGAATCAGATTCATTCGAGACAAATATTAAAATTAATTCCATCTGACATCTCAGTGTTACTAAAGGCCTAATGAAGATTTGATTTCCTATTTCGACCCTATTTTCACTTACGAAACAGCTGTACTGGGAAATTAACAATAATCGCGGAGGTTTTATTTTCGTTCATTAACTATCACAACTAGTATAAGAAGATTTATTGAGTTATATGTATTCACAAAATTAATTTAATATTGTGAAACAATGTCCATTCATTGGAATATGAATTTCAATATTCTTATGGGTTCTGTTGAAAAAAATGCATGGAATGGGTGAAATGAGATGGAGCCCCTTTCTTAGTGGGTTTAGCCAATTCGTCCATCATTCGTAAAAGAATTTACAGCTTCAAATCTACAATGAAATAAATCGCAGGTCGAATTTTCTCGATCCTGATGTTAAATACACACATGAAGATTTACTTGACAGGTATGTATTGTGTCTGCAGATAAGGCGTCTAAGTGTAGGTTGGTTAACAGGCTTTTCGTCTCCTTGACTCCTCCCGTTTTCGGGTATCGTCTTACCGACGAACGTCAGGGTTCTGGCGACGAGAACCAATAACTCGATCGTTGTCTGCAAGCATTGTTACATTTCATATGTACAAAAAGAAGCGGGCTTCCTTGATAACAAAGGAAGCCCCACTCATACATTGTCCAAAATACTGCCCTCGGTATTACAGTCATTTAGATTGCCTATTTATGATAAAGATACGGACCTCCCCCGTTTATATTGGGTTCCTGAACTTCACAATAATTCATATAAACTACATATTATAGCTCGCTCCTATCGCTGTTTTAACAAAGCTGTTGTTAAGCCTATTAGCAACCACTCCAAGTACTATCAAATCGGGGTTACAGAAGTGGAATTAATAGTATGTGGATTTTAAAGAGTTCCCCAGAGCTTTTAACCAATATTTAACAACCTCTTCTAAAACCCGCTTCTTCTATATGAACATATGACTTTTCCCCCGTACATCACCATACCCCATTGGAAACTGAGGAAACGTCTTCGTTCTCTTGTTACGAGACCTTCCTTCCCTAGGATGTGAACGGCGGTATAAATATATCGTTGTGAACTAAACGGAAGCGTATATCTTAACAAAGATCAAAGAAATATACGCAGGACAAAATCAAAATTATGATCGAGTTGTTGGTTGACAACATCGTCGTCGAGTTTGGTGGGAAACTATTCTAACAGACCATGGACATACCTAGGGGAGCTAACTGCGCCCCTCTGTTGGCTGATGTGTATGTTTTCATTCGATACGTAATTTATTGAATATTTTATCAAAACAGGTCACAAAGACCCTGCAAAGTCGTCCAAATTCCATTCCATTTTCCCTTTCAGATATATTGACGACGTCTAGTCTTTAGATAACAAGAAATTATATAAACACCAGAACTGTGAATCAAAGGTACGACAGACCCTTCAACATCAGCTGCTTATCTCCATCCTTTTCTGCTACGAATCCAATATAGATACCTTTCCATCAAACTGCATAATAAACGTGATGATTTCAATTTCCCAGTTTTCCCAATTTTCCATGTCTGGATAGCGATGTGCCTGCATTTCCTATATATGATCTTTACATGCCACAGTTGATTCGACCTGTTCCAATTATCAGGATGTTCGTTTATGATGTCAACTGACTGACAAACTCGTATTACAGGGATTCAAAAGATACTGTTGATGAATTTATGGGACAGATTTGTGATTTTCATAATAATCTCATTGAGAAAGATTCTATTTCTTTGTGTGATATGAAGCTGGACGTGTTTGATGCTAGTGGTTGCCTCTTAGTTCCGTTGTTGTAAATATTGTTCTCATTTGAACACGTGACATACTTGGATTGACCGAAAATTACATGGCGGGCGTTCTCGGTGAAGCAGAAGACGCATAGTCTTCCAGAACACCTGGTCTTATTCTCCTTGTACCTTTTCATGATCTCAGAGCTAATCTTTCCTACGTTCATATTTTGCCAAAGTTTTATAGAATCTTACATTTTATTATGATTATGTTAAAATGAAATTATATCTTTCTTGTGAATATTTCTAAGACTTGATAGGTTACCATGATCAACGCAAGGCCGTTTAACTCTTTACACTTCATTGAATGTGAGGTACGCCTCTTTTGGTTTTTACCTTCATAAGTTTTTCTATCTAAAATTGTTAAATTCAATTTTTTGTTTTGAATCCCTTTGCATTCTGAAAATAAACTTTTCCTTCCAGCTATTTCCCATTTCTTCCCTTATACACCTCCCGTTGCAATCAACACACAAAACAGTGTTGAGGCTTCGCACAACAATAGACTAACGTCGCACTCATATCTTAACACCGCTATACTGGAAATACACGTGACCTTATATCACTAACGTAGTATTCGGAAATTGTATCATGCAAAATGACCTATTATTTCTTTATCTACTTGACCTTGACCGACTTGGGGCACCGAGTGCCAAGTATTATGCCTTATCTTGTAGAGGCACTTCTTCTGAATACAGGAAGCTTTATGATAGGTGCAGGTTCACTCTTCAAACTATCATCATGGGATTCATAATAATGTTTGGTAAGATTTCTTTCATCATCTTGCCTTTGAATTATCGGGGATACTGTTCATGGTGCCCCAATAGAAATGTTGACAACTCCTCTTAAACCTTTCCAATATTTCAATAGTTTAGTTTAGAATTCATTTTGTGAAAGTACGTCGATTACATATTGAAATATAAATACAAACTGGATGTCAATATTGTTTATAATCCCGAGTTTCTTGTAAATCTATCATCTTATATTGTATTGAATTCGCTCTCATGATTGTTTTATTTTTCAGGTGTTGTTGTTACATTGAGTGTTATGCTAAGAGAAGGTAAGCTGTTGTTAAGGGCATTACAGTCAACATTCTAGCTAAATCTATTTGTGATCTTTTAATTAATAAAACTCGTGACGACAATAGGAAACATTAAGAAAATTCCAACATGACAACATAATATTTTCAAACTCAAATTCCATACAACTAAAGCAAAGATTTACACGGAAACTCTTGAAAAAGTACAACGATAATTGTCATCAACCTGAATCTTTTGAACCCGTGTTACGAGTTTGTGAGTCAGTCGACGACTTCCTGCATGAAAATCGTGATACATTGCTTTGAATATACAACTTTCATGATATTTTAGAGAACTTTATTTTTGTATGCATTGAAAGTACATTGATATCGTTCACAAATGTGTAATTTTGTTATTCATTGAATACGTCATGGAGGAAATATCTCCGTCAATGAATAAAGTTGAAAGAAATTAGCCTATGGAAAAAGTGGCACAGGGTATTGATATAATTTCAATGAACTGGATAATCACTAACATATTGTTGGAATACAGCAATGACGTTGTACTTCGCAATGCATGTAAACATAAATAACACTTGGTTCAAAAGGATTTTTTGTGCATTTGTGAAAGAAAAATAGGATAATTCGGTCGCGGCAACGTTTTCCATGCCATAAGGTTGCGATGTAAAGTTGGGCGTGTTTGGTGCTCGTTAGTGTGTTTGGTGATTCCTTTGTCGTTTGCCTTGTTCTCCTTTTAGCACATGACCTTAATTGGCATGATTACGATCAAATTTCTTAAAAACCTGGTCTTATTTCTTTACCCTTTTTTAAGAGTCTCCGTGGAAGTATTTCTCTTGTTCGGCTTTTACCATAATTTCTTCGATTTGTGTTTGATCTAAGATTCTGTCAAAACAAGGAAATTTTCTGTTTTGTTTTTGTAATTTGATAGCGCCCCTTATAGCAACTCTCTAATGTACTGACTTTGAGTCATATATGACATACACTACAAAAGTATATGTTGATCACGGCATCGGAGAACGAAGAATAAACACATTGTAATTGATTATGAAAGGGGAATCAAATCTTTATGTTTATTAAAAAAACATGTTTTATTTCAAAGAGAAGCCTGACTTAATCACATAGCCCTATGGTTATCGTATGTTATTACGGCACTATTGAAAACTATGTTCGTTTGAATAAAATTTACGATGAAGAACTACAACAGGCCATCAATTTAATTTTACGTGGTTGCTATCATGCTACAGTCGGTGAGCAAAGGAAACAGTTTTTGCCGTTTTATTTCATCATTTATTTCTGGCGAACATAACATTGCCTTTTAAGACATCTCGAAAACCAAATCTAATGGGACGTATCTAAGGTAATCAATAAACAAATATATATATACAAGTTATACAGCACAAGGAAAATAGAAATAAATTAAGTTAAGAAAGGGTTTTACTGAAGAATAAAACATTAGAACGAATAACATTTGAGTTATGAGATGTTATGTATTTTTTTCTAACATGTAAGTTAATAAGCCCAGCATTCTTACTACATATCCGATTAAGCACACCCATGTGTTCTTTAAGTTAACCGTTATGATTAAAATTGTTGTGTCTACGAAAGCTGAAACAAAGAAATTGTATTTAGAAAAATCATATATGGTATGCTCTGTTGCTGAACTGTCATGCCTAGCTTACATTTAGACTTTGTCTTTGTGATTATTCAGCTTGTCATCTTCGTCGACGTTTGATGATTTGCCTACGTCTTTTTTAGCAAATGCTGTAAAGTGTTTTACTTGCGACCGGATGGCTTATCCAAGAGACTGTCCCTTCATTGCCGAATGTGGTCCACATGAGGTAAAATCTGCTTTTATTTTAGTTGTCAAACATTCATTTCTCTTTTTTATCTTATTTTTTATTTTATTAGTTCATCTTTTATTTTTGTCATGTCAAAGTGTAAAAGCAGTTTCCTGTTTTGAACTTTGAAGCACGCTGTCAGTTTCTGTTTTAAAATCTCGCTCTGGCACGTTTTCATTTTATGAGAATCATAACACTATACAAAAAATCGTTCATGTCTTGTAATTTATTTGATATTTTTAAAGTCCTTTACATCTTGTTTACTAGACGTATGGTTTTTGAGTACAACACATACCTACATATTTTATTTTCATATTATATTCCATTTGATGTGTATCTACTTATCATTTTCAGTTTTTTTCTTTGCGGTTGTACATCGTCATCTTTTTCTTATGTGCTTGTTGAAGTTACATGAAATATTTTTTTAACCTTTTACAAACATGACACTGCTTTTAAAACTCCCCTGGCAGGATAAAATTGATGAACTATGTCCTTACTGCACAGGGTAGATCCCGTTACTTCCAGTAACATACCTATTACAAAGCATTCCATTTGAAGTCAGAACCATTTTACTATTAATATTGTGTTTACTTTTAATCAACCTATCTTGTGTTATAAGATATCTCATTTCAGAAGATCCAACATTCATGGATAATTATAGTCCTATCATTGTTGGCCTTCAACCTGCTCTACTTCAAGATATAAAAAAACTTGGTTAGTCAATTTTGCATGTAGTTATAAGATACTCTTGATGTTAATTAACGTTGCCACCAGTGATATTTCTATGTTGATTAAATGTTATTATATATTCATCCGTGTTGTATTTTTGTACCAAATTTTGCTTTATTATTATTTGTATATATGTTGAACTTTGTTAATTTTCAGGAATGTTATTTACGAAAATACGAAACAGTGGATGGACATGCATTTTTCTCTTCTGGTTGTCGAGATAGACTTGTAAGCATATTATTTATTTTTTTCGATATAATTTAATTCATTATCACCAGCACGTTAGCAAGAGGAATTTATATGGGTTACAGCTTCTATGGTAAACAGTCAGTCAGCGGCAGGATTCAAATAGAAAAGTCTATAGGCATTTCATCATAATGTACACATCATGTATCATGATTCTATCTGGTGGTATAGCAATAGGCTTTTGTTCCCAGAATGACTGTAATTGGAGTTATATTTATTGTATTAACACTATAAATGCTACTTTGGTTGTTAGGATCTACAACGAAAATGTAAACATTTAACTATGGAATTTGTTTTATACTTAGCCGTTTTTCAAGATATCTTAAAAAAATTCTAGTTTCGATATCGCTCTTGAATTTTTCATCATTTGACTATTTGTGTTCACATTACAGATGTGTAGTGCACCTGGGAGACGTGACGTGATGTCGGATGTAGTGGAACGTTCTAATTTTGGACAGGAAGTCCTGGTCTGTCAAGAATGCTGCGACACAGATCACTGCAACTATGGTGGATGTGGCGAACCGGGTAGGAACCATATTAAAACAACCATTTCATCAAATGTATTTTCAAAAACAACAGTTCCATCCGCATTTGCTGCCAAAACTACTGATTCATCAACCCCGTTTACTTCAACATTTTTCGCCAAAATATCAGATTCCTCGGCATTAGTCGTCAAAACATCAGATTCCTCAACATTCGATGTCAAACCAACATACGCTAACAGTTTACCGTTTATCAGTTAAATTTCTGCTTTCATGCTTTATAAACCACGAATAAATATTTTGAGGAGATAATCCATTTCGACTTATTTCTTGAATAGTGTCCTTTAACATTTGAAAATATGAAACATTTATCTCATTCATCCATTCGTTTGGTGGGTATAAGCATACCTTTGATCATATGTTATTTTCAAACAAGATATAATTTAAATCAGTGAAGACACCATAAAGAGGTGGTTCTAGAAATACATCAAGCTCTTTTTTGTTGAACTCATCCGCACACAAATATAATTATCTACAATTCAGTTGAAATTTGCTGTTATAGATATATATCCGTATATGCAACAGCATGGAAACAAGTGGAATATCGGATTTAAAACATTTAGAATAGCAATTAATGGATATTAATGAATATTCGTGGAATGCAATTATTTGAAAACCGTAACTGTGATTTACCTTAATGAGTTGACATATATCAGATAGCAAAACATCAATGTTCTTCAACAGACTTACCAATGTAAAGAAATGCCTGTTTTTATAGTTCAAATTGAATGTCATTAACGGTTGTCAATCGTTTTCTTTATTTTTATGACTCTGGCTATTGTTATGGGATTTGTTAAATTAATTTCATTCTCAGGAGAATTTTCAATTTCTATAAATATGTAAGGTAACTTTTACATGCAGGTTTCCCTCCACGTGGCTCTAGAGGACCAATATGTTACAACTGTAAACAACAACAAACAGATTCATCCTGTAATGAGGTAGCTGTTTGTGGACGAGACCAGGTAGGTGTTTTTTCCCCCACTGTTTTCCCTCCCATTACAGATCCAGTGTAATGTGATCTGTAAACATAAGTCTGTTTTATTGTTTAACGAACGTGTGATGCATCTACGAAACGGTTTTACAAAGTGTTTGTGCACGTGAAAATGGACGTTATATTTATAATTGTTTTGTCTTGACATCGATTTAAATGTCTCTACTGTTTATTAGTAAACATTAACGAATAACTATATCTCAATTATGCTTCATGAATTTGGCTTGGGCTTTAGAGTTTAATGTATTTCTGTGGTGGGAGATTGAGTACATTTTGGTCGACGTCCTCTATATCAATCAGATGACATAAAATCAAGCGTCATTTTTTTCTTAGCAAAACTGGCACTCTTAACAGTTAAAGCAAACAATAACAAAATGTTCAGCACTCGAGCATTTTGACATGATTATGTACTTTTTTGCAAACAAGAAGAATACCATTCTGGATTTAAAGATAGCTGTTTTCTAAATTTGTTGTAATAATCTTTTCCTGATTTTACATTTTTGTGGGATGAAAAGTTCATACATATTTTTTTTTTATCTTTTTCCGTGATGCCCTGTCGTACATCGTCACCAGGCTTGTTTTGTCCAGGTCGCCTACGATGTTATTTACGATCATGTGTATAACAGCTACTGCGGTACAGTTGATGTGAGTATAACAGCAATGGGTATTCCTCGTGTCTTTACTATTTGATAAACATTACAGTTTCACAAACATTTTCACATACTATTTGTTATTCGACTTTGGCCCTGGCTATTACCAGGAGGTAATTCCGTTTACAAACAAATTCCTTTAATTTATCTTCCTAATAATTCTACTTTATTGGAATAAAACTGTCATCACCCTTTAAATTCTACGTGTTTATACCGCTTGTATGAGCGTATCAATAACTTTGAATAAGTTGACAGTTTAGTTGTTTGGTCTTGCATGTTCACTGAACTCTTGATATCATATGTGTTCACGGATAAACATCTGTGTTCGCTTACGTTTTATAGCTGCCTCGTCCAACTATTCAGCGAAGTCTTTTGTCCTAACTACTAACCACCATTCTAAATACTATTAAATCTGGGTTACAGTCTTAATGTGATATAGTTTACTCAAGAAGTAGAATAAATAGTACGCGGATTTTGAGGGACTCAAAAGAACTTTTCAACACCCTCTTCTAAAAACATTTATTCCATAAGAACATTGAATTTTTCCAAACTGTACACCACCATACCCCATTCCAAAATGAAAGGTGAACAGCGCTAGAGACATATGATTGTGAACTTTACTGAAGCGTATTTTGTAAAGATTACGTCCAAATCAAGAAGAAATATATGGATGACAAAATCATGAACGTGATAAAATTTCTGGTTGACAACATGTAGTTTAGTGGTAAGATCTTCCAACAGACTATTGACATGCCTGTGGAAACGAACTGCGCCCCTCTGGTAGCTGACTTATTTTTGTTTTCACACGAGGCCGAATTTATTGAAGAGCTTATCAAAACAGGTCATAAAGACCATGGAAAAACGTTTAATTTCACTTTATATCCACCAGAACTCTACTTCGTCAGCTGCTTATCTCGATCTTTTCCTACAACGAAATCAACATGGACATCTTTCCTTCAAGCTGTATGATAAACGTGATGAAAACAATTGTTCTATTGTCAATATTCCTGTATGTCCAACCTATGATCTTTACACAGTTAATTCGATATTCAAGGACCTGTTCCCATTAACACAACTGACTGACAAACTCGTTACACAAGGGTTCAAAATATGCTGGTTGCTTTCAATTACGAGGAAGTTTTAGGGTCGCCATAGTGATCTCGTTGAGAAATATACTAAATGTTACCCGAGACTAGACGTATTTGATGATAATTAAATTGGCTGTTGGTTCCGTTGTTCCGTTTGAGAAAGTAATATTACTTACTTTGTTTAACCAAAGTTTACATGGCGGGTGTCGTCGATCACGTGGTCTTATTTTCATTGTACTTAGGAGTCTCCGTGTCAATTCTTTTTTTGTTCATAGTTTGCCATAGTTTGATTGAATTTGAGATTGAATAATGATTGTGTCGCCATGTTGGTATTTTTGTAATGTTTTTATACCACTGGGTTTTAGCAGGGATAACAAACTAACAAGTAGCATACTGTATGATTCGGTGCTCAAGGGTACAGGACCTATTACTGGAATACAGCGTACCCCTCGTATTGTTCTCAGAAACGTTATTAATTTGACACAAAACACTGACAGTGCTCTGAACTATAAAAATTGGTATTCTGCTGCACATTCAATACCATGCAAATTTAAACTTACAAATTTATATACTCAATCAAACACTTCGGATTTTTTAACATTTCAAAATCCGAAACTAAAAAAATGCAAATGCTCTGATTACTGATAAGAATCACAATAGTTCAATGAGCCAATAAATTGTAAAACCTTGTTTATTGTATTGACTGTAATTTGTGTTGTATGGTATATGTTGGTGAAATAAACGCACAGTTAAGACAACGTGTGGATGGTCATCGTTCAACAACTGACTGAAGAGAGAATCAATGTTTGCATCAAGATTTCAGCCTCCCGGACCGTTCAATAAAGTCGATGAATGTCCATATTTTGTAAAAAAAAAAAAAAAAAAAAACAATTACCACTGTACAAATGACCCCACATGCACATCCTTTCGTAGAAAACGTGGGGAACACTATATTAGATTGATTGGCACTGCTACGCCATATGTCTATGGGATATACTGTCACGTTTAAAAAGCTTCAAGTGGATTCCGCTAATACTACTTCTGGTGACCTGTGGAATCTCGCTTGAAGGCCTGATGATGTGGCACAAATCAAATCTCGTTTGTAAATAAAGGAGTGGATGCCATAAATATATTTTTACCCTACGTCTGTTCATGCTAACCTTCCACAATACGCTCCCCTGTAATTTCCTACAATTACTCCAAGACCATTGCATCCATACCTTTCAATTACAAACAAACGCTGCAGCACCTAAATGTAGATGACATTAAAACTCATCCTCCGTCACCTTGTTCTTGTTCTATCTAAACTTTTAACTATTGTCCAACTGGGCACATAGTAACTAGTGATTTCAACGTTATTAAAAATGTGAAGCTACGAGAGTTTTTTTTATGAAGGATCCTATTTTCTCTGTGTTTTTTAATTTATCGTTTTCTTTTTCGCATCAAATAAAACAATATTGGGTTAAACTTCTGATTTACTACTATCTCCATGATGTTTTTCTACAAAGCAACTGAATCAAATCCTCGCAGCTACAGCAATACAATGTGAACTATTCAGTGAAAAGATTTGTATTTTCACAGCTTTGCCAGAGAATTACCATGGTCGGAAGAAAGCGAGCTTTACCTGTTCATTGTTGTACGGACGATTTATGTATTTCCGGTTTTAATTCTACTCACATACAAACAAAAGCTCCTGCTGCATCAACGGTTGCTACTCCGGCAGCAACACCAGCAGCAACAGTTGCCCCGGTAACCACTGCTGCTCCACCACCGACTAATGCCACTGGTTTGAAAGTTTGATAAAAAAATATTAAGATCTAATCGTATGAAATAGTTTTGTGCGTAAAATCTATGAATGTTAATTAATTTGGAAAATTTTCTCAACGTCATTTTTATTTTAATTTATATCCAAAAAATCATCAACGAATGATTCTAGTTGAACCTGCATTATCATGGTTAACGACATGATGTAAATAGTGTGAATACTCCAACCTTATTGAAGCAGTTGTTTACGTTTACCATATACATCATCACTGTATATGCATTTAACTGTTTATGATTCTGAATACATATTATTAAAATGTCAAATTAAATTTCACCAGATTCTCTATTACAGTAAAATGAAGAAACACATTTCATGAACAATTTTCACATGTTCTATTTAGTTCTCCGCTGTCCGCCCATTACATCACAGTTCCGGAACTCGTGTTATTATTTCTCTACCGAAGTAAAATATTGGAGCCAAGGTCAACAAATCTGTATTGCAAGGGGAGGTAATCTTGCTTCTATCGACGACAAGGACGAAAACGACTTTATAGTGAGCAAGCTTAAACAGATGATAGCTAATGGTGAAATACCATGTAAGTAAATATAATCAGTTATAATCTATCGCATGTATTTTAAAATTTAAAATCGGTGACATGCTTTTTTGCTTTTTTTTTTCGCAAACTCATTAAATCTACCGTAATTTTTGTAACTCAGCTATCGTTTCGACACTTCAGAATGTTTCCAATATTAGGTTTTTGAGACACTTGGAAACAGCTGTATGTTATTTGGCTGTGCAGTATCTTATCTCAAATTTGAATAGAATGCGCACCGGCGACATATTATTTAATGGAATTTACTGGCAAAAACAAACAAAAAATGTTTAAAAGGATATGAAAATATAACACGTTTTGTCATTGATTTGAACAAATGACACGAGAACAATAGAAAGGGTGACACCAAACAAACACAAAATACTTTCAGGATATTCGATGTCGGATTTACAAAGACGCACAAGTGATTAGTGCATTGCATTAGTAGTAAATAATTGGATACAATATAACCCAATAATTAATCAAACAGTTTCATCTCCTACGAGACATAGGGGTCTTTACTGTGGAATAATATTATAATATATACCATCTTTACAGCTACAATATGGGGATACTATTTTGGGGCACATATTGTGAACGGTCATTGGGTTAAGCCTGACGGGACTAGCCTGACCTTCACCAACTGGGGACCGGGTGAGCCTGACCTACCTATCTCCCAGCATTATGGACTCATATTCCTTCCTGGACAATATGTGGGCAATTACTTATGGGGCAGTAACGCTGATATCGATGGTGTTGAACGTTATATATGTGAAATCAAGCTGCACTAATGAATGCCTGTTATTTTGTAATAAAGATGTATTGGCGATCTTCATGTTTTCCTGGTTATCAAATATTCTTACCGTAAATTGCAGCATTTTTTTCTTTTTTGCTTTATTGGTGAATTTAGCTGTCAGTCATGCACGTCAAACGGTTGGACAAGATTTGTAATATAAACGAAATATTATTGAACTGTTTTATTTTACCAGGGAAACAAACATCAAATTATCAATACCAATAATAAAATTATTATCAAATATTAAGAAATGCAATAACAATTTCTCATTGCCAGTGAAGAGCGGTTGATGTTCATCGTTATAGGATTAGTAAATTGATTACTAAGAAAATAATTTACAAATGGGGAACTTGATTCTGTTGATTGTGACAGTTAACGATTAGGAAAGTAAAGAAAGTGATTATTGAAATAAGCCTGTCGTAGGGATAGAGTTAGGCGTGTGGTCGTCGAGACGAATCAGGATAAGTAAATGATGCTTGTATTCAGAATGAAGGATGGTTTTTGGACATCAAAGAGTCGACAAGTGATTTCGGACTGAGAGCTGTGTGTCTGGTATTTAGACAAGGGTAATGTGATTAAATGGGTAAATAGAAGACAATATATTGCGTCATCATTGATCAACTAGTGACGGCAAAGTAGTGGCTCCGTCACATATGGTTAAAGAAATGAAGTTAAGTCATTCCTACAGTGTACCGATTATCCTGTTCCATATACTGTCTGCTTGAGCTTCGCATTCAATCTTAAAATTGAAAAACGTACTATAAGTGATCAATTTGAGGTGGTGAAAAGATAATTTATATCAGCATGAATGGTTATTTTGTGTGTGAATATAATTAAAGGCCTCTAGTCAATATAAAACAAATTGATTGACCAGGCGTTCATAGGGTGCTGCAGTTGCCTTACATCAGGATAACAAGGGTTAACTCCCTTGAATAACAAGAATCTAGCGGATTTCCGATTATTTTCTATTTTCTCCCGTAATGAATATCCCGCACACTTCCATGCGGGACATTTCAAATTAGCTTTTATTGACTTCACAATAAGTAATCTAAATTATACTTAACCTGCTTATCGGCCCGGATTGAAGCGCGAACGATTGGTCTTACTCGAGTACCTGGTGAAAATTCACATACTCGGATAGGTGACTACTTACCTTTTCAGGTTCCTGTGCATAATTGAACCTCGGATATATTGTTGATAGACGAAAAGTTACCACTGCACCACCCGACCACCTTTCAATATCATAAAGTTTTTTTGTTTTCTAGGGGGTCTGTGACTCGCTATTTTCAAGAATTAAATAAAACTATGAAACATTTTACTTGGAGGAAAATATAAAGAGAGAAATCAATAGCATAGCGCAAAACGGAGAAAACTTTGCTACAGTATCAAGCTTATACTAAAACACGATGTTATATCTGTACAGTATATGTTGCTTTAACTGGTATTGCTGTTGTAAGCTATTTTTGTTTCAGGAGTTTACAATTCAACCATATATATGTAGTTAAGTGAGAAGTATTTTGTGTTGAATAGATTTGATTTCGATAGAATAAATAAAAAAGTGCTGTAAAAATGGCGTTTACGGAGGATGGCCTATTGATGGGCGTTCTTATAAAACAGTAACATCGAAATGTCATAACATTGGTATTGTAAGATCGCAGTATAACCTTTCACCTCATTTTGAGAAATCAATATTATTAAAAACATTTGCTCCCCTGAAAAAATAGACAACACCATACAACAACGTGCACTTTTATATATAGTCAAATGTGGGGCATTGTGTTGTCTCTTAGTTCGCTGTTTTATGGTTAAAAACGATTATCAGCAGTAAAAGTGTGCTTATGATTCCTGAAACAATGTACTTATACAAGAAAAAAATACTTCTCAGAGACCGAATCTTTGCTTTCGAAATTTGTCATTTTGTGGAAGGAAAGCAATCAGAGTAGGACAGTATGCTGTCCGTAGACATAATAAAATCAGTGCTTTAAATTCTGTGATAAAAATATGGTGAAAAAGGCAAATATGTCGTGTTTTTGTTATTGTCATGAAAAATATGTTTTGCCAAAAGCGCCTCTTTGTTAATTATGACTGAAAAATGTGTCCACAAGTAATACGCAGGAAATCTGCTGAGTGATATGCCTTGGGGAACAAGTTACCAAATAGCGATTGCCAGTTAATAGGTGCAGTTAAGAATGATCAATCATGTGTAAGGATCTACATTAATCAGCCAGAAATATCACCTTGTAGCAATACGTCGAGTCATATGATTAATTAACACGATCAATAAGTCTGAGACTGACAATCATATATATAGTCTATCACGTGTGTAATCGTCAAATCCGCGGTAATGTACATGTAAACATATTGTGGTATAAACTATCGACAGTACGTGAATCAGTTTGGCAACCCATCGTTTTGGGCTGGATGATAGCCTGCAATAAATTTTGAATTATGATAGAAATAGGAGTATTCTTTGAAAACACACGTGGTTGGAACTTTCCGGTTACCAACACAGAAATTCGAGAGAAGCTGGTTGATGAAATGTATGGCAAAGTTTTACAGTTAGCACAGTGGTATCATTGAGAGTTTTACTACTTCCCCGTGAAGCTGGACGTGTTTGATGCTCGTTCTTTTACGTGTTGTATACCAGGTTCTCATTCGAGAAAGTGACGTCACATATTTGGATTGAACCAGGTTTACACGACTAGTGTCGTCGATGAAGCGGAAGATGCTTAGTCTTATGGAACACTAGGTCTTATTTTCCGTGTACTTTTTCATGAGTTTCCGTAAAAGTATATCACTTTTTTCATATTTTGCCCTAGTTTGCTTGAATTTGATTATGTTGACATGTTGATTTTCACGCGAGAGAAAATATACTGGTGATTTGTTTGTTTGTTTGTCCTTTTTATTTATGTGCATCTTACCACGATCATCACAATTTTTTCTGAATATTTCGCCTGATAAACAAAATATATATACATATAAACGTTAGGGTTGCTACTGTGTATTTCGACTGTTACATTCATAAATCAGGTAATCTTTAACATTTTGGTGTATTGTCCTTAACAAATGCTTTACGACTAATGTGAAATGATGTACCAATTGTAATTAGTTCTCTGGTCCTGTACACCCTTTAAAGTGTACGTACTTTAATGTACTCGCTATGAATAGCAATTGCTTGATCAGTGTTAAACAATACGTTTAGATACGCTTTAGTAAACCAATGTTTGTGAATTCGTTTATCTAAATACATTCATTAATTTAAAACATACGCTCTTAAAACATTTATCAGAGTCAGTAGACACAGTAGGAAAATAGTACGAGACAATGAAAGTAGGTCAAACACTATTTTAATTCGTTTTTTTCTGTGTTGTAAAGGATGTAATGTGAATCAGTAATTGAATGAATGTCACTGGCATTAACCTTTCGCTAATGACGAATTAGCAATTATCTGTTGGATAAGTAGAATTGAACTTTCTCTTGTCAATCCCAACACGTCGGCACTTCAGGAGAAATCCAAGGTTATCCCCTGGAATTATCTTTATTTTGTTTTCATTTCGTCTTTGGTAAACGATATCGTTCCATCAAATTCAGTCAAATACGTGCAGTACAAATGTCGTTCAATCCAATAAATAATGCCACGTTCCCCAATAAGAACAAGTGGAACAACATTGGAAAATTTTAATGCAAAATAATTAGCATAAAAGAAGACATTATCGAATTTCCACCCAACAAATGGTTCCGTGCTAGTCTATACTTTGACAAAAATAATGTTAAGACGTCGTCCGTGGATGTTGAGTCATTGACTAACGTTGGTATAGTGTCATCATACTGAAATGCCATAACATGGAATGTAATTGTGTTTGGACTATGTCACAATGTAATAGAACTATCAAGTCAAAGCTGATCAAGTTGTGCAGCTTATGTAAGAATGTTTCATCTGAAATCGAATTCGGACCATTTGAAATTTAAATGTGCTAACACATATTGCTTTGCAAAAAAAATCTGCATCTCATTTTTCATGTTAACCCTATTCCCTAATACACCGCACCATATATAAACAGCAAATAATAAAGAGAGAGAGTGTGAGAGAGTAGGGATAGGGAAATAAAAGTGTTTACTGTAGGGATACTATACATAGCTTGACAAACAATTTAATGACAAAACAAATAAACCGACAAGGACGTGGTCATGTTTTATCATATACGTTAATTACCTAGGCGTTGTTAAACACGGGATACCTTCTTCTACGTGACTTATCGGTGTTTCAGCAATAAATAGTACATTAACATTATATATCTAATAGGTAGGGTGTAATATTAAAATAATATATACTAGCCAACCCTTTGAATTTAGATTTAACAGAATTCGGAATGACTGTCCGGCTCTGTTATTACAAGGCAGGTGTTGTTTTTCCCAAAACATATCTGATCTATTTTTGAAACAGTTCGTGTTTGGGGCGGGTAGTCTATAGATTTTATATACACATTTTCTACAGCAGAGCTTTCCATGCGCGTGAAGCTCTCACAGTGAAAGAGTTTGTTCCTGGTATGAGGACAGTTTTAGAATTTTCTCTTTCGCTGTGATTTTTCTGGTATTGAAGGTTTGTCGTTTATATTATCATTGTTGTATTCTCAAAACAGTAATTATGAAGTAGAATTATGTGCGCCGTTTTGTCATGCTTCATGAAGAAACACGTGTATGATGATCAAAATATGTTAACATACAATGATTACTTTAAAAACAAATACAGTCGAACCGCATTATGTCGAAGTCGTGTGGACCGTGGGAAAAACCTCAAGATATCCGAATGTTCGACTTAAGTGGATTTACATGTTAAGTGTAAAATTTGGCCAGGACCGACAGGATACTTCGAATTTAATGGGGTCGTTGAGTTATAAGAGTTCGAGATAACGAGGTTCAACTGTATTACTAAACATTTGTTTCCGTCGCACTATGACGCTTGATAATACTGAATATATGGGGGTATATATCGAT